GGCATTTTGTACTAGTTACACTTTTAATAATTTATGTGGATCCATTTGCACGTTTTTTAAAAATTTGGGAGTATGATTGCAATTTATTATTTAACTTTTCTTTTCTTTTTAGTTGTTTTATTTAAATAGAGGGTATATTCATCATTTACATGAGAAATTTGATAAAAATGATGATTTTCGCAATAAAAGGTGAAGGTAGAGGTAAAATTGCCAAAAAAAAAGAAAGGTAGGGACTTTTTGCACAATAACATTAAAAGGTAATGACGTTTTGTGCTAATTACCCTTTGTATATCAACAACTATGATTTCAAGAAACTGAAAAACGTATTTTGACATTTCAATTAAATTGGGGTAATGTTGAAACTATATTTCAATACTATTCATATAAATTAGTCTTGTCCACAAGAATAAAAGTGAAGATCATATTAAATTTTTATTTTTTATTTTTCTTCACATTAAAACTTTTTTTCCTCACTTCCTCACAACATTTCATGAATCAAGCTGTTGGAAACATTTCCCATGTCGATTATCTAAAAGAGAAAAATTATAAAGAAATTTAAAAAATTAATAGGCACTGGTGTTTAGCTTATGTTAAGCACCGATGACATGACAGATCAATTGTGATTGGTTAATATGTTAATACTAGATTCCATGAATTTAATGATCCACCAATTAATTTGTTTGTCATATCACCGATATTTAACAAAAGCTAAGCATCATTACTCATTAGATCATTTCCTTATATTAAGATTTTCACTTCCGTGTCATTAATGAGTCTCAATTACAATTTATAATTTTGAATGTATTAATAAACACAACAATAACATCATATCAAGTATGTATACTTGGAGTCAAAATCAAATCTCATAAGATACATTTGTTTTTCATGGTGATTATTAAATTTTAGCCAATTTAAACACGACCAAACACTTAAGCATGTCAAGTACTCATGTTACATACGTTAAACATGTTTTTGGCTTCATTAGTGATATATAATTTGTGTCAAATCTTCTATAACACTTGAAAGGTTTATTCGCTTAATTTTTGTCACATCTTCAAGTATGGTGCATTTATATAGGCCCCGTTTGACAGTCATTTTCTTCAAAATTCATTTCTTTCTCTCTTCTTTTCAATCATACATTCTTTATTAAAATAATATTACACGTAAATAAAAAACTTTTCCTTATTTTTCAACCACACATTTCACATCAATTTACTATTTTAAAATGTATTTTTACATAAAAATGCCCATCAAACACTTGGAAGGTTTATTCTCTTAAAATATATGTATTAAAGTTCATGAATAAATTGTTCGCTTTAAGAATATTAAATTTCAAATTTCTTGCGCAATAATATTTTATTTTAAATTTGTGATAAAATTATAAGAACAAACTAAGATTAAAGTAATTAGCCTTATAACATATAAAAGATTTGCATGAAATTAATAAAGGACGAGACAAGGAAAGAGGCACATTAATCAACCAAATGAAGCTTATACTAATATGTTTGAATTATGATAAATGCCATTCAAACAAATCCACCGTATCTGCTACCACTGCCACCTCCTTGTTCAGTACCACCCCCAAACCCACCACAAAATCCTCCTCAAAAACCATAGCCACTCGCTATTGCTCCAACTTCCTCCACCAAACCCTCCACCACCACCAAAGCCAGCTCCACCAGCAGCAGTACCCCCGTAACCACCTCCACCACTCAACCCTCCTTCACCGGAACTCCAATGATGAAAGAATAGCTGGTCATTCAAAGGACCCTCTGCGACAACAAGCTTTCTCGCCGTCGTGGTGCAAACAAGAACACCAAGAAAAACCAAGAGAACAAGTTTGGAAGTCATCTCAATTTGCAAGTATTGATTGATGAGAATTTAGGGCACGAAAAGGGATTATATATTGCTATAAATTAATAATCCTTGAAGATTTTAATTGCACCATAAACCACGTTTAATTGTTTTAAAAGGAAACCCTTTACCTCAACTTCATAATTCGTAGTTGAATATCAGTTATTTACATTATAGTTTAATGGAAGAGTTAATCTCTGAGTTTTTGAGGGTCTCATTCACTTAACGGTTATTGCATTAATTAGTGACTAGTGGTTTAATTTATTCTTTTAGCTATTAATTAGTGCATTGGTAGGTTAATTTGACTTTCTTGAATGTGTAATATTTTGATAGTTATGTTGACCTCGTTTTTCGTTAGGGTGACTTATACCCAACCCATTTATGAACACGTAAACAAATTTCAACAGGTACAGACAGGTTGCTAATCGACAATACTCCGAATTTGGGACGTAGAGCTTTCTAACACAAGACAAAAATATTCGAGCTCCGGCAATATATTATATTAGTAAATTTTCATTCCATTTTTCATGTGGTATTTTTCTTAGCTACTATTCATGGGAGGTTATATACTACGATCCTAACGATAATAATGCTATGTAACTCTAGTGGGCAATTTAAATGGCACTAGTTGATAGGTTAAATGAAAGATAAAATTAAATGACTTATTTAATTATACCTATAAATTAATGCCACGTTAACGCTACATAAATTGGGGTTGCAACCTTAGTAGGGCTAAAAATAGCATGACTCTAACAATTATAAACTATAAATCCTAAAAAAAATCATTTTTAACTGCAATCGTGTTCCTTTGTGAGTCACTAAGGCTGGTCAAATTCTCAAGCTATATTGCTAAGCATACCTAATAACGTGTTCAAGCCTCCTATTCTTCTATAGTAATTGGTTCGATATATCATTATCTTCTTCCTCTTAATTACATTTCTAATAGTTCTTGATCAGATAGTAAAATTCTTGAAATATTTGGATATTTTTGTTTTTCATGTTAACTAGGTGCATAAATTCTTGTTATAAGCATTGAGATTGATCCAAACAAAATTTGGATAGCTGTTAGCTTGTCCAATTCCAATATTTTTCTCGATAAACAAGCACGTGCAAATGTAGAAGTTTTATTAGACGAAGTGAGTCGATAAAATTTAGGGTCCGTTTGATTGCGAAGATGGAATTTAGGTGGAAAGAAAATGAATTCCAGGGAATTGAATTACCTAGAAATTGTTTTCATGGAAATTGTAAATTATTGTGTTTGATTGTATAAATTTTTCACGTGGAAAATATTGAAGTAAAAGTATTTTTTGATGTTCGTTTGACTTTGTTTTACGTGGAAATTATCAATTTCAGGGATATCTTCTTTTACAATTATTCCTAAAATTTGTTCCCATTGCCAACAATTAAAAAAAAAATAAAAAAAGCAAAAAAAATAAAAATAAAAAAAGGTGGAAAACCAAAAACCACCGATCCCCTAGGAAAAAAAAGGTGGAAAATCACGCTTTAAGGCGTTGTACCTAGAAATTCATGGAAAATCAATTCCCTGAAAAATTTTGTCAATCAAACAGGTCAAAAGTGGAAGTTGGAATTCGAATTCCAAGTTCCATGGAAAATTTCGTGCAATCAAACGGAGCCTTAAATTTTTTTCTCTCAAATTTAAGTTATGGACACAATCCATTGAAGATTAAATTCAAATTGTCATTTATTTTTTTTTTTTTTTTATTTTTTTATTTTTTACAAGGTGTCCGGGCTTGCGTCCGACTAGATACTTGTCCCTGAACCTCCGGCCCCTCAGCAGCTCAGGGAGGTAAATCGCAGGATGTGCCCTTGTTGGCTCCCAGGTTCCCACAACTCATTTGGACTTCTTCCGCAAAGAGAGCTCTCCTCGCTGGGCGTTTGTTCAACCAAATGGCTTCCCCTCCATTTTAGCACCCAGTGTTAACTCCAGGAATCGAACTCTCCACCCTTACTTCCAGCGTCCCAGCGAAGTGATTGTTCCACCAACTCGAATGTGCCCTGGGGGGCTCAAATTGTCATTTATTCATTAGACTTTATACGGTGTAAGACTCTGATCCACATAATACATGAGATGCTCTAATCTTCTCTATTTCGTTCCAACTTTATATTATGTGACTGAAGGGACAAAAATGAAGTCTTCATTGTATATTTATTTTTGAAATGGAAGCAAGAGTACTAAATCCTGTTTAGCGTAGCCAAAAATCAGATTTTTTTTTTTTTTTAATTTTGATAAAAGTTTATGAAGTGTACGATTGAATAGTTGTTAATCTAGTAAATTGTGGTTATAATTGATTATCGACTTTGACCTAAATTTTAATTCAATTTTTGATTCAGAGCAGGGGCTATATTATATATGACATGTACAACTTTCCACACAAACTGTTTGATGCAGCCCAACAAATCATCTCCAAGCCCAAACTATATTCCAGCCAATACTGTGGCTTGTTGATTCAAGCCTAGCAAAACTGTATAGATCAACCCAAAAGCTCAAAGTAATTTTAGCCAATTCTTGAATAATAGATCATTTTTATCAACTTGACTACAATAGATCATCTTAATTCTCACTCCCACCATCAACATACTAAATTCATGAACAAGTTTTTTTACTTAATTTTTCTAACATGCTTAAAACTTAACTGAAAACTAGAAAGTTGCCCTACTTATTCACATACATATTTCTTCTTGAATCCAAAATGAAACTCATTGTATTATGTATTATATCAACCCACATGAACGAAAACTGTTATAATCAACCCAGCCAAAGCCAACCGGGATATAAATCGCGAAGGATGAAATCATATGAAAGCCTTATTCCCATCAGTTGGTACAGAATTGAATGAACCACAATTATTATCAAGAAAAAGCTCTGCAATATCAGTAAGAATTGGACCCCTGGAATTAAAGCCGTACTCGTTTGACATCCAACAATGGTGAGGGGTTGTTATTTTCCTGTGCCAAAAGACATCCTTCTTGTAGCACCAAAACCTCACCATTAACAACTGTCCCAAAATGATCCCGAATGACATCCCCAGCATCAACATAGTATATTTCTAATGTTTACCAAGAGCTTAGCGTATCAGGATCACTATTTCTTCCATGTTAGTTGAACAAAAGGAACAATGACCAGTCAATAATCCATCTCCTTCCACATATTTGAAAGAGGAAATGAAAATGATCTAATAGAACAATAGAAAACTCCATAAATGATTAAAAAGTAGGCACATCTTATGTTCAGCAGAAGATTACAAACTGTAACATAATTTATTATTGCACTAACAAGAGAAGGAACTCAGCACTCTATTAGATTGAACTGAACCCGAATATATAAATATCAGTAAATCTTCATTAGATTTGTTTTCCTTAACAACATTTATTTTTATTTTACCTAGCATTCGTCTTGATTTTTAATCCTCGTCCTCTTCCTCTACCTCCGCAACTTTAGTCTTAGACTTTCCCTTGTTTTTCGCTTCATCGTTCCTCTGATCGAACTTCTTTACTGCCTCTACATGCTTCCTAAGTAAACGGAGTTCTTTTATGTAATAATGAAGCCTGTCAATCATCAATCCCAGAAATAGGGAAACACCTGCAATTTATAGAATCCCAATTCCTCAATTTCTTTATCTTTTTTACACTGGATATCAATTCAGAACATAAGATAATTTTCAAAGCTTTGATTGTGTTTAGCAACTAGTACTCGCAGACATCGATATGTTAATTGTTTTTACTTATAAGCAACAAAAATTACTTCTGAAAGTGCAAGTTAGGTTAGCAAATAGATTATTTGCTCTTAATTTACTTATATGCATTTAAACTTACTTATATGAAGTTTTTTAATCAATAATCAATCCAGAAAATTCCAATTGATCAATTTCTTTATTTTTTTAATGACTTTTCTGTTCTGGGAAAATTAAGAAATTTCTCTTTACCTAAAAGTGATGCTTCAAGAAGATGGTAGGCGAGGATAAGTTGATCCGTGGGATTAAGCGGGGTCCCATCCGTTGATCGCTTCTGAGTGTCGATTATACTATACAAAATGGACACCAGAATCACAAAGAGAGTCCCTCCGGCGGTAGAGACCACCACCGGGCCTCGGCCGCGCTTCGCCCTGTCCATCAAAAGGAGAAGTGGCTTCCGCAGAGGCGTTCTGAACAGAAGCAGCAGAATCACAAACATTTCGGCGAATACCATACAAAACAGAGGCTGATACATTTTTTTCCTGCGAAAACTTTTCAATTATGTTTGAAACAGTTGAAATTTAGGGCTGTAAATTGGGGAGAATCCAGGAGACGTAGTGGACTAATAGAAAAAACGTGGCATCAAAGGAAAAACATGCTAATATTCGTTGTGTAGGAACCTCACATCAACTTGGTCCTTGTTTGAAAATTCTTTTTCAGAATTATTTATTATTTTTTTTTTCACTCTCATTTTCAACTAAACATTCTTCACAAAAACAATAATTTTCAAAAATTTCTATAATCTTTTCTATTTTTTAATCACATATTTATAAAAAAAATCATTATTCACAAAATCACTTTTAATAAAATTAACTTCCCACAAAAACTTAATCCGCATTAATCTTTATGAAACTAATGATAATAACATTACTCATAGCCACATCAAAGTTTTAATTGATTTGCTTAAGGAATAGGGAAAACTAAGTTTGTAAAAGTCTTGGTTGGAACGAATTTTGATATATTTTCAAATAATTTATCATTGTGGTCTTTGTCCAATTTAAACCAATTTCTGGCAAAAAATTAATTCTTTTTATATTTTTTTAAACGGTTCAATTTAATTTCAAACCTGAGTTAAGGTATCGAAACCTAAACCAAATCGTTTTAGAAAGATTTTGTATGGTTCAAACTGGTTTGTTGATGGCTCTAAGTGGCAATGAATTAATCATTTCAAAACAACAACTTCAGTTCAATTATTCGATTTGATGATTTTAACTTAAAGACATAGAGAAAATATTTAAAAGGTAGGGGGAATTTGCTTAAGGAATAGGGAAAACTAAGTTTGTAAAAGTCTTGGTTGGAACGAATTTTGATATATTTTCAAATAATTTATCATTGTGGTCTTTGTCCAATATAAACCAATTTCTGGCAAAAAAATAAAAATAAATTTTATATATTTTTTTAAACAGTTCAATTTAATTTCAAATCTGAGTTAAGGTACCGAAACCTAAACCAAATCGTTTTAGAAAGATTTTGTATGGTTCAAAACTGACTTGTTGATGGCTCTAAGTGGCAATGAATTAATCATTTCAAAACAACAACTTCAGTTCAATTATTCGATTCGATGATTTTAACTTAAAGACATAGAGAAAATATTTAAAAGGTAGGGGGAAGTCACATCAGATTGAAAAGGATTGAGCATTTGTTTAGAGGGAATTTTCAAGTGAGAAAATATTATTATTATTATTTTTGAAGAATATGTAATTAAAAAGTATGAAAAATTATGAGTCTCATAAAACGTGTAATTGAAAACATTTTAGATTTTTTTTTTAAAACTCTCCCCAAAACAAGCTCTTAATAGTGTTAAAGAAAAGATTGATAGTGCTTGAACACGATTAATTCATGTTAATCCATGCGACAATAGCTTTACTGCCACATTCTTCATTAAAAATACATTTTATATCATTTGAAAATATGATAGTAACCAATTCTATTAATATATTTTGCTTACAAATTAATTATTATAGTTGTTATTAGAATAGATAGACCAGTTCAATATTGAATCTAACCCGTCGAGGATAGGTACTTTAGGTCCACGTTTAAATTTAATTTTGATTTGATTGAGACTGCTAGTTTATGTATAAATAAAAATAAAAATAAAAATATACATATCAAATCTCAAATTTGAAAGGCATTTAGTGCTTTTGGGGTCAATTTCCAAAATTCGTAAACGGGTGGGTTGGCTAAAAGAGAAATTGACAAGAATAGCACTGAATGGATCACAATATGTTCTGGAGCAGCAATTTTATTTTTAGATTTGCATGGAAGAAATAAAGCACGAGAAAGGATAGACGTCCACAAATAGTCACATAAAGCTTACATTAATTTATTTGAATAATTTTTTTTTTCTTGGTACAAATCAAACATATGTAGTTCAATGACTCAAGACATTTCTTTTTATTGAGCCGTGAAACATTGTTGTTTGCGGATAGATTGGAATGGGATTGAAATCTCAAGGAAATCCACCGCCCCCAATTCCACCACCAGCTCCTCCACCAAATCCACCACCAGCTCCCCCACCCAATCCACCTCCACCTCCTCCTCCACCGCCTCCACCACCACCACCACCAGCTCCAGCGCCACCTCCGAAACCACCACCAGCTCCTCCTCCAAAACCAGAACCACCCCCTACTCCTCCACCTCCACCTCCGCCGAATCCTCCTCCACCACCTCCACCAAGTCCACCTCCTGCACCAGCACCAGCACCAGCACCCCCACCAAATCCAGCTCCACCTCCAGCACCAGCACCAGCACCTCCACCTAACCCTCCACCACCACCACCCCCTAAACCACCTCCACCTCCTAAACCCGGATGATGGAATGTTTTCTCATCATTGAAATAACCCTCAGAGGCGACAAGCTTTCTTGCAGTGATGGAGGAAACAAGAACACCAAGAAGAACCAGAAGAAGAAATTTGGAAGTCATGATCTCAATTTTCAAGTAAGCGACAGGCTTTGACTCTTGGTTGATGAGAATTTAGGACACGAAAAAGGGATTATATAATGCTACAAATCCATAATTATTGAAGTGGAAGCTGGCAGGATTTTAATTGCACCATCTCCTCATCCATAAAACCGCGTCCCAATTGTTAATGCAGCTAACTGTTTCTTTGAAAAAACAAAACCCTTTACCAGTCTGACTTTGAAAAAGAAACCCTCACCCATATTCTGACCATTTATGTGTACATCTTTCTCTCTCTCCGATGGTCGTCGTTTCCATGGAGTTCTTGAACAATATCAAAATTCTCGTAAATTATGATATAAATTGCAGATGAAAAGATGAGCAGGGTACAATATCAAGGATAACATGCACATGCATGTAATCCATATTTACATTTCGAGCTTGCTTTTTTATCAAGAAAAAAAATAAAAATAGAGGAATCATCCAAGCTTTCCAAAATTGGAATAAAGAATGTTTGGCAGAACTTAAAAAAAATCTACTTATAGGTGTATAAATTAAGTTAGAAATAAGAAAGTATATTTGGAGACTAATAAGAGTTACTTTTATTAATTAAATATACGAAAGTAAATTATTCAAAAAAGTTTGGAAACATAAAATTACTTAAAAGTAATCTATTACTTTTTCATAGACTCACCCAAATGTGTTTTAATGTGACAACACTCTTCAACAACAACAACAACAATAATAATAATAAAAGAAATAAATAAAATTACGCACAGGGCATGTTGGAAAATAAATGCAATGTCAAATGTGGTAAGTAAAAATTTAAGGAGTCGTTAAATTTAAGAGGAAATTACACTAGAAGTCAATTTTTGGGTTTGTATTTACAAAAATATTACTATTTTAAAGTCTTTTCAAGATTGTCAATTTCGTACATTTTTTAAAGTCTCTATATGTCATTTATTCGAAGAGACTTGACTATAAGAAAATTGTACAAAAAACCTAAAAAAATGTCACATCAAAATAAATGAATTATGAAATTGAACAAAAAAGAAAAAATAAGAAAAAAACAAGAGGGTCAAAAGAGAAACAAAAACAGAAAATACTACTAAATGTATAATTCAAACACTCAACCCTAAATTCACTCTGCTCTCTCAACTTTGAATCCCTCTCTCAACTTTGAGTCTACAACTTCCCAAATTGAAATCATCTACAGCCTAGCAGTGACCACCGTTAATTAATTGATCGTCAGCGAAGACCACCATTTTTTCCATACAATTTGCTTTTTCCTTTCGTTTCACATTTTTCTTTCCTTTTCTTCATTTTTTTCGTTAAATCTATCAGTAGAAGATGTTAATGTTGCAAGTTGATATAGGAAATATTTGTTGTTGCTTTTGACAGTGAAGAGATACTGGACATATAGCTGTTGAGGATCATCCAAAGGGCTCCTAGTGGATATATAATTCTAATTAAATCACTATAAATTGTTAGCCCAATATTCTTCCCCTTTTTCTTTGGTTAGATAAGCTGTAACATTGATAATCCTTGTAATTGTTTATTTCTGTCATTATGATTTGGGTTTTAGGGTTTAAAATTTGAAATCCCTTAATTTTATATTCTCAATTTGAAGTGGGTAGAAGGTAGAGGTTGTCGGAGCAATATAGAGGTTAGAGGTAATATTGGCCAAACGAGCTACATATAATAAAGTCTAAACCATATTAGAATTATATAATTCCATATAATTAACTTGTGCTACTATTACTAACTTGAAGACCTTATTTATCGACTTATAATTACCATGTTTCTAAAATGCATACGCGAGGTGCATGCAAAACACTTTAACTTGACAGTAAAAGCGAATTAAGCGGAGTGATCATATTGATGGGATTGAAATGATATGAACATAGAAAAGATTTGAAATAAGAGATGATTTAATTTTCTATTATTGAAACATAATCCCGCTTGTAGTTTTCTTTGCCCAGTCCATGCTAACTTTGGATAGAAAATTCTTCCTATGGCAATTTGTTGAAAATCATATTCTCATATGTGCACTAACATGGCTATTTCCTTGAATATATTCAGGAAATGAGTATACTTAGAGAATATTAATAAACTAGTAAGGAAAAATTACGTTACTATACATCTTGTGATATTCGTGTTTTAATTTTTATCATCGACACTTCTTTAACTGTCAAATCTGGAAGCATGACTATCTTAGACAATAAGAATATATGCCATAGTTTTACTGACAAGTTTTCCTAGGTCAGAATATGAACTCCATTTGAAGAATAAAAGAAAGGAAACATCACGAAAAAAAGAGAGATGATGTCAAGATTTCCATATTACCATGATTGACTCGTGAAAAGAAAATATTTTACATGCATGTTATCATTTACATGGTTTAATTCATCTTATTATTTGGCTTTCCTTGTGTGGTAAAGGTAGGACATCAGCCTGATATGTAAACATGAGGGGTTGAAAAATACTTGATATATATGTGGTTTTAATGCTTCTGCCTGCTCGAGTATGGAGTAAGAAATAATGTTACTTTCACTTGCAAGTCCATATGTTGTGGTGGTACTCGTATCTTTCACATTGTGTCTCTTATGCATTTGGGTGAAAATCCTAATAAACACTTGACGTATATGCGATTTTAATGTTTTTGTTTGCTTGAATATGAAGTAGCTCTTGAATAATACCTATTTACTTAGAGGTCAAAAGTAGATTTTTCGACAATTCACTTCAGTAGAGAAATGGCATCGAGTTGAACTGTAGTTCCCGACAATTTACTACAATAATTCTCGATAGATGGATGAATCTTGATAGATAAGTTGAGAATGTGCTGAGAAACACCATACTACTTTATGAAGTTAAATTTCTTAATTTGCAACCATTTGTCGAGAATGACAAAAAAATTTATCGGGATCGACAGTTTAACTGTCGGGATGTTGTGCAGTACGTCGACACAAGGATCCGTAATTTTTATGTGAATATAAGGAGCAATAACGTCTGCAAATGATAATGAAAAAAAAATGATAATTTAACTTCGGAATGTACAACGCCATGGCGCAACATTTAACATACAACTTCTACCACTTTTAGATATTGAGCTTGTTTAAGAAAGTTGTGTTACAGTGAAGTTTGAACATGTGGTCTGGTTATGACTAGTTCTACCACGGTGAACGCATTTCCTGAATCGTGTGGTAAACTCGTATCTGGATCGCTTTATGCAATGTTGATGGTCTCAAATGATTACTTATACTTGAAATGTTGAAATTGCAAATGTAAGAATTATATAAAATCCCTTGTCGACATTTAATACCATAAAAGTGGAACTTTCGAATATGTAAATCCATGTAATAGCAAAAAGGAAAATCAGGGTTTCAATAGTTTTCAAGTGCCAAATTTGACGGTTAAATTGTCTATCCCGACAGTTTGTAAAGGTCGAGTTCGAAAGTTCAGATGTCTAACTCAATGGTTTCGAAAATACTATTTGACGGTTGAACTGCCATAATTTCTCGGGAAACTTCAAAAACATATGTTTGGTAGCTTGGAAGAAATTACTGAAAATATTAATGGTGATAATCAATTCTTAACCATAACATCACAACATCTTCCCAAAAATAAATAAAAAATAACTAAATGCTTCATTAAATGTGGAATCCTTTACATTTTGTAAAGGATGTTGGTATCTTTTCTTTTCAAGAAAATTTCAAAAATCAAACAAATCAATGAGTAATAATTTCAAATTTTTTATATAAATATGACCATATTGTATTTAACATTTAAAATAGTAAGTTGTAAGATGAAAATATAAACAATTTTTAATAGCTAATCTTTGAAAATGGATGATGAACCCTATAATAATGTCTTCTTGATGATAAATGAAGAAGAAGGATAAGAAGTTAGGGTTTGTGAATGATAAGAAGTTATGTGTATGCATTTTTTTTTTTAAATAAAAAATTTATATTACCTAATATAATAATCATATATCCAATCTTTATAACAATCGCGCTACATAGACAGATTGTATTCAGATGAAATCCCGACTGAGGTGGCCAAAAAAATGAAAAAAAAGAAGAAGAGAAGGACAAATAAAGGCTAAAAAGTAAAAAGAGAAGGACAAATTATGACAAATTAAAGACTTTTTTTGCAGCCCCTCTTGACCAACTCTGCTGCCCATTTCCCTCATTTCACCCTCCACCGTCCACTCTTTTTGCCCCAATTACTCTTCATTTACTCTCCGGCCAAACAGTAACCGTCCACTTCTTTTGCCTCAATTAATCTTCTATTATTCTCGAACTAAACAGTAGGTTTCACCCAAGGAATTCGACTCTTTCCATCAATGGTTTTCGCCTCCACTCCGACTGCTCCTACATCCATCATTTAGTCGCCAGACGCATGACCATCTCCGGCCGGTAGCAAAGTCAGTACTAGAATTCCGTCGCTCACTGCAATTTCAATTTTTAGGCTTTGCACGGGTAGAAAAACCAACTTTGTTGCATAAACAAATGTGTTCAAAAAAAATTTTGTAGAATCAGTAGTTGAAACACCAAAATTTTCCATTTTCCAATTTCCAATATTCTCCTGTATGTGTGCTAATTCATCTATGTTAGAAGATTTTTCTTGAATTTTATAGTTTAAGGGGGGAAAGAAATGGCATGTGTCTTCAAATTATGAGTGTTCAATGTTTCTGCTAGTTGTTTCATTATGGATTGATGTGCTTTATGGGGATGGAAATTGGGCGGTAAGCTCGAAATGAGTATTAAATGAGAGAATTATGAACGTCTCTATTTTTCTAAATTGTGCGAGCTGTTGGAATTTGCAGATTTGCAAAGAATTAGGTGATGGTTGAGACAAGTTTATACAAAAAGTTTGTTATTTATTTATTTATTTATTTTTAAAGGCTTTGTCCAAGTTCATTTAATGTCAAGTTACACTCATCGACAATTTGGTGTCTCTTCTCACGTCTGTATAAATTACAAGTTGGTGTCTCTTGTCATGTTGGTGTAAATTACAAGTTGGTGTCTCTTGTCACGCATGTTTTTGTCACTATCCATGTATTTGATTACAATTTTTGTTATCGCTC